GAGGTTGTGGATGCCCCGTCCCTGGAAGTGTTCAAGGCCAGATTAGATGGGGGCCCTGGGCAGCCTGGTCTGGTATTTAATGTGGAGGTTGGTGGCCCTGCATGTAGCAGGGGGGTTGGAGTTTCGTGATCCTTGAGGTCCCTTCCAGCCCTGGCCATTCTGTGATTCAAAAAACTTGCTGAGAGTACACTTGATCCCAATGTATATGTTGTTGATAATGATTTAAGAGTACTAGGTCCAAGATGGACTTCTGGGAGACACCACTTGTGGCTGGCCTCCACCCAGACATAAAGCTGTTGACATCAACCCTCTGACTGTGACCTTCCAACCAATTCTTTATCCATTGAATAGTTCAGCCTTGAAATTGTTTCTTTACTTCCATCGTTTAACCTGCATTGCATATTGCTGTGTTGATCCTACTTACAGACAGTATTTGCCATTGCTTTTTTTTTCCATTTTTCTATTTTCTGTTTTGTGTCCACTCTATGATACACAGTGAGCGTGGCTGCATTTTGCTTCCAGTGAGTTGTGTAGTTCAACCCCTGTGGCTATGAGTAATTTATTTAAAATGGGTTTGGAATATGTTGACAGCACAGAAACTCTTACCTAATTGTTTTGGTTTTTTTTTCTGTCATTGTTGGTAGGATTTTTATGATACGTGTAGAGACATTCACTCCAGCAGTCTCCTCTCTGAGAATGCAAGTGTCTGTGCCCTTTGCTGTTTGTATGTGCTACAATGTTAGCATTTGCATCATTTTGTCAATGTTGCCTTTTCTGCATGCCCTTTCAAAATAAAAAAGTGTCAGCTCAAATTAACTGCACTAGATCTGTTAGCTCATTAGAGCTGCTAAATCTTATCTGATTCTGTTTTGCTACAAAACACATTGGCAGGTTTTTCAAAGTAAATTGCTTAGTCTTTTCCTTTAAAAAAGCGAACAGCCTCAATTTTATGTGAATGGAACATTTTTTATTTATGTTCTGGCAAAAGCAAATCAGTCAAGGAAAAATATGTCATTCTTGAACAACAAACAATGAGGGCTTTTAGTTGTTGGTGTCTAGTGCAGATAGAGTGCCTCCAGCCCAAAGTTTCATACTTAGATTGCAAACTGTGAAGGTATTGAGCACTATTTTTTAACTTGAAGGAATAACTGTTTGGATTTCACCTGGGCAATTCTGTCTTCAGTCATCTACTGTTAATTATCCTATCATGGGAGAACTTTTCACCTCTCACTTTGATGTATGAACTGTTTTGGAATAACTTTTCAGTTTTAGAATGTGTAGATAAAAGTAGCATGTGTGTTGTTGTTATCCTTTGAGAATGTGATTAGATTGAGTAGCTCAAAGCTTTTTGATGAGTGGACAAAAACAATATTATTTATCATAGCTTTATTGTTTTACCAGCTCAGAAAACATGTTCTCTAAACTTGTAGTTTTTGGAATATTATTATCAGATTCAGTTTTCATTACAAATAATGTTTTGAGGATGAAAAGTGAGCAAAAAAGTTTAAAAGGCAAAGAAATAATGTAATAGTAAATGTCTTCTTATCTGTTCACATAATTTCATGGGGACCTGTTCATACGTGTACAAATATGCTAAGATTCAAAGTTGCTGAAGTTGTTTTCAAGAGCTTGTGTACTGGAGGTTTTACCCATATCAATGAAAGCTGTTAATCTCATTAGTTCTCCTAAGTGAGCTACAAAGCTGTCTAGTTTTCTGCTTGTCGGTATGTTCTGTGTTAATGAGTTTGAGTGCACTATTGCACCATCTGTGAAATGGTGTTATTTTTGGATTGTTTTTTAAACCTGATCCTGCTCTTTTTTTTTTGGGTTCCATTTTACTGTAATTCTGATAAATGGTTAATAGTCCTGTATTAACTTCTTGCCTGAGGTTCGTAGTTGCAATTTAGAAATCTTCCTGTTTGCTTTCAGATTTTTCTTTTCTACTAGGAGCCTTAAGTAACAGACTAACTAGATGATATGGAAATTGCTTATGCATCTGATTACTTATATCATTCTTCCCAGCAACTCTGCTGTCCCTGTTTTGAGATGAAGGAGTGGAAGTACAGGCAGTGTTCAAAAGCATCTTTGATTTAGGCAGTGGCACAAAAATATTTATTTTGTGTGTGGCTTTTTTGTTTATAATGTTCAAGAAATATTACAGTTATTTGAGTAGACATGGTTGATGTCAACAATTTCTAGAGTAAACTATCAGTGAGCCAAAACTTCTCGAAGTTATACATTTTAGTGCATGTGAAAAAAGCAGTACTGAAACTTCTGACTCAGTGACATTTCTCTATTGTTGGTGCTTGTAGAGCTGGGTTGAGAATTTTGTTGAGGCTCTTTGAACCTTCCAGTTAAAATATGCTTTCTTATTTCTGACACAGTGGTTAGAATAGATGGCCAAAAATAGTAAAGACCTTTGACAGCAAGTTCTTTATTTTTTATCTTCTTGCATATGGGTTTTCCCCCCACCCTTTTTTTCCGCAGTTAAGCTTTTGTCTTTCTGACTTCAAATTGCTTTTGTTTCTCCACTGCTTCTGGGATTTTTTTCTACTGTTTTCATCTATCATGTTTTTCATTTCTTGCGAAGTTTATCAGTGTATGGATATCTGATATCTGGATATATTACTAATAATAAAATATGTTTTCACTTTGTACTGGACTTGGCTGGGATGGAATTAGTTTTCTTCAAGTGACTCATAATCTTCTATGCTTTTGATATATGACCAAAATAATGCTGTTGACACGCTAGTGTTTTAGCTAGTGCTAAAATATACTAAACTTAAATATTGAGATGCTATATATTGGTATTCTGTGTGATATTTTTTACTGAGAGGAACATAAGTGTATTGAGCTCAAGTTAAACTATCAGGAAAGTTTTCCAAATAATAAAACATGTTGCTCTTTTTTATAGATCCCTAATGGAAGTAATGAAACACTTAGCATATTGGAGGTTTAAAACTGCAATGGGTAAACAACTATAAAACTGCAGTGAAGCAACAATATCTGTTGGTCTAAGAAATAACTGAAATAATTTCTCACTGAGATGGTCCTTCCCCTTTTTCAGGAGTCATCAAGCCTTACCGGTTGCTGAATTCCTCTGTGCAGCTAATGTGCTCTTTTGATACATAATGATTACCTTCACCTCAGATCATAGAATTATTACAGTTGGAAGGGATTTTTAAGGTCATCTAGTCCGACTCCCTGCGATGAGGAGACCTCAGAGACCCATACAGCTCTTACTTACAAATGCCCCAAACATATGCTTAGTAAACTTTATTAAATACAGGGTTTATCTGCCTAAGAAGGTTGCTTTGATTTAAGCAGGTATGTAAACACTTGTTTTTGGTTAAACTAAATTGGAGTTTCTTGTTAATGGGTTGGCGGGAGATACCATCCATTCTTTTTGTCCTAAGACAAAGTTGGATGAGTTGAGAAATGTTTCTGAACAGGTGAATAAAAAGGAGATGCTAGAGCTCCTGCACTGCAATGGGATGGGTTTTGGGGATTTTGACTTTTCCTGGACTGGATCAGTTCCCCAGCTCCTGCCTCTGCACTCAGTTGCTTTGAGAAAACAAGAGAATGTGATTAATTTAACCAGCCCTCCCTTTCCACTGTGCAGCTTATGTGAATCTCTGAGAATTATAGGAGTGGATGTTTGATGTCTGGGAAATGGGATTTGGATGGAAGATATACTGCAGCAGTGGGCAGCCCACTTCTCTTCTCTGGAGTAAATCACACTAACTATAAGGATTTTTAATTTTGATTAAAGAAGTGCCTGTGTCAATACAGAGAAACTTGCAACAGTTCCACTTCACAATTTAAAGCAATTTAAGTTAAAAAGTAAGCATATTCAGGCAACTTAAGAAGTTATATTACTGCTGGAACAGTATAACAGACTTTGTAAGTGCTTCTGATCTATTAAAATTAACTTCTGGTGGTTCATCAGATTTTATTGCAACAGTCCAGATATTCTTTTAGACCTTTTCAAGAGAGTCATAGAGAATTTGGAGCCTTCAGAATTCTAAAAAAATGACACTTCAGCCTTAGTTTTAAACTTCTTTAACATCAACTGATTCTTTTACATGAATTCTCTTGCAAGTAGTGTGCCAGTCTCTGTAAGAGAAACAATTACATGTATTCATTTTGACTGGCTGCTGAACTCTTACGCTATGAAATATCAGTATGTTTTAGGGAGAAAAACAATAATTTTAATGAGGATTAGTTTAAAAACATGCCAATTAAGGATGTGTTGCTGTGCCTGTGAAACATAGTCCAATTATGAAAGCAGAGAGCAGTACTTTCAATTAAAGCCTTAAACAGAAGCAAAGGACAGATGAACAGCCTGGTTCAACAGGACTTTGAAACTATTGGTTCATTCGTAGTTGTCAGTTTTCCTCATCAGCACAGGCATGACCCCTCCTTAAATGTGTTAGAAAATTCAGGCACTGCATTATGTTTCTTGCACAAACACAGCAAGAGAATTCAACGTGCCTCTTGCTAGGTAAGGAAGGTCAGTCTATTAGTCTGTTGAGTCAGGGTGCCAGCTGTCAAAGTGCTGAGCTGACTGCTTAGCAAGGGAGATGCAAAGTGAGGCAGTTTATCTAAATAAATCTGTTTTGAGCAAGCAAAGACTCTTACGGCTTGGAGAAACTTTGCTTAGCTACTTTGAGTTGCATATACTTCATTTGTTCCTAAATCATCTCAAAATCACTGGTGGATGCTTTTTCAATGCAGTAAGAACAGTAGCAGATGAATTGTCCCTGTTGTGAAAGATCAAGACTGATTTTTGACTCTCTAATCTCTAGTGGGAACTATAAAATAATTTTTGCAAGGAAGATATCTAAATTACTGAGATAGAAAGCTATCCTCTATTATGGAAAGGCAATGCCCTGTAGTCAAAGCTGAAGCTCATCTTTTTCATAAAAACATACTCTTGTCTCCCGATGTTCTTTTCCTAAAAGACCTTCTAGTTCAGGGGTTTGTTTGTTTGTTTGTTGTTGTTGTTGTTGTTTTTTATGTGGAGAGAGTTCAGGAAGAAAGCAGCTGTCATTAGGAAGTAAGAAGTTGTTGCTTTGGTGATTTGATGGAGAGTGGTTTGATATTTTTATGGTCTCTTTCAGGTTACACACAGAATGCAGCATAGTTGTGCTTTTATAAAAATGCATTGATCATGCATGCAGCCCCTGCTCCTTACCAACAAACAGCTTCTGGAAGATGCTTGTTCCTCTCAGGAGGAGGGAGAATAGGCTTCAGTGTGGATTAGTGAGTGGATTTTGAAGTTAAGTACCAGAACTCGGCTTTACGTAGAGGGGAAGGCTTTGTGTTTTGTGCACATATCATTTGAATGTTGATCGTGTTCATACAAATATTCAGCACTAGTTCAAGATGTATGATAGATAAATCAGGTGAATTTTCTCTCTTACCTGCTTTTGGCCAAATCTGTGTGCCAGGTTTTCTGTGTTACAGGGGTTTGAGCAGCACTCAGTGCTTTCCTAGCACCTATGCGTGAGCTGATTCTAGTCCTGATAAAATAGATCTTTCTCAGCTCGAAGGTGGAAGCTGTGATGCATGTCTTTGCTTGAAGTATTTACCAGCTTTGTCTTTATTATGTATTATGTATTATTCTTAATAAAATTTCTGGAGTTTGTTTTGTAGGCAGGAAATTACAGTCAGCTATATTTGTTGTAATAGATCTGTTCTAGTACTTTTCCTCGTTGACCCTTGGTCAAACTGAATCAATTAGCAAACTTCTCTGCCTAATAGAGGCATAATTAGGAAAGAAAAGCAGCAAGTAATATTTGTTAGCTTGTTAAGGCTGTAACAGTAGTTTTCATTAATGTTGATGAATCAACAAACTCAACTGACACAACTCTGTCACTCAACTGGCTCAACTCTGTCCTTCTCTTAGTAATTTTTATTTAAAAACAACAACAAAAATAAAGTAGAATCCCAGTATTCTAAAGTTTATAAAGTTACAAGATAAACATGAAAGAATCAACCCAAAAAGTCTCCTGGTCTCTCTCATTACTCTCTCATTAAACGGACTCTTACTTTTTAATGGTTAGAAGAGAAGACTTGGGAGTAGGGTGCTTGGAATTGTGTTCCTACCATCGTTTCACTATGTTACCCTAAGCAAAATGGGGAAACTTCTGTTGTTATGATCACATCTTTTGCATTAGTTCTGGATTTTTGTTAGCTAAACATTCAAAATGTCTTTTGTTCACAGGCATAGCAAATAGTTTTCACTAAATTACTGCCCACTGAATGTGACAGTGTAATCAACTCAATCAACTTCTGTATTTGTTGTTTAACTATACATAAAGTAGACTCAGCGAAATACAGTTCAATAGGCAGCTTGTATGCTGATGTATTCTTTTCCTCTGTGGAGCAGGTAAGATGTTTGTGATCCACTCCTGCTGTGATATTTGTAAAGATGAATTGTTGGTAGTAAAGTAATGGAAGCTGTTTCATGAAGGAAACATGGGAAAAATACTGTTGGTAAGCTGCCACGCAGCCTTTATCCCACTGCACAAGAAGTGTCTGCCAGAAAGGGGTTATATCTTTATATTTAAATATCCCTTTGGAGTATTGCAGTGAAATGTTGCTGTTAGAATTATTCAGTTTCGATATCGGTCAATAAATTACAACTGTTCTAAGGAAGTAAATGGGGATATAATGAGATTCTTTGTGCTTATAAAGTAGTAATAATTTCCAGAACCATTGAAATCTACAGTGAAAAATTATTGTTGAGGAAAGCAATATATAAATGAATTTTTCTAATGCAGTCTAAACTAACTCCCACATACTTTCTTTCCTTCTAGTTTTGCATTTAGTTAGAGGAATTGCAAATTAGCCAAGTGCTATTTATTTTGCTACCTGTGCTGCTTCAGTTTGTGAGTTTGTGCTTGTTCCCTTTTTTTTTCTTCTTCATCTTTTTTTTTTTTTTTTTTTTTTTTTTTTTTTTTTTTTTTTTTTTTTTTTTTGTAAGAATTGTCTATTGTCTGTAGCTCCTTTTTTTCCCCATGGTTTTGGAACCAGAAGCTCAGCTGAGTATTAACAGATTACAAAATATTACTGAAATTAGAACACAGTGATCCCATGTAGCGTGTCATGCTACTGCTTTTGCTATTTGCATGTTATAAACGACTGAACACACTACAGATTGTGCTGTTACTGATTTATTTTTATACATTGTTTCCTTATCCCAGCACAGCAGCTACAGCCTTTTATGAATATACACTGGAGATTGTGTCAGCTGCTTTAGATTCAGGAAAAAAAAAAAAAAAAAGCCTTCTGAAATTTACTGGGTTCATTTATAATTTTCTTTCTTGGGTCAGTTTTGAGCTTTCCTTACTCATTACCTCTGGAATATTTGCATAATGCCCTAATTTGCCATGAGAGTTTCTCTAGCCTGTATTTCCGATCACTTCATCTAATACAAGGAATGTTTTGAGTATAAACTTGAACTACTCTTTTTTAAATTCTAATTCTTCATTTATAAGGAGTTCTAAAAGCAAATTTCAGTAATTAATTCCTCATTTGCTTTAAGGAGAAAGAACTGAGCTGATCACATGTGTTATTTCAGATGAGTGTTTTGTAGACAATGTTGTTTTCTAGGTAGCAGGTCCAAAAGTTATCCAGTTTAAGAATATGAAGGCATTCTGAACAGCAAAAGATAGGGGATCATTTGAAAGTGCAGGCCTTCAAAAGGCAAAGTTAGAACAGTTGAAGAGTTAGACTGAACCAAATAAACTATTTTGATCCTTAGTGTTCAACACTGAAAAAGAGAAGTATGTTTCTGTCTGTTGATTCATTGTAATGGCTGGGGGAAAAAGCCTGACCCAAAGAGATTGTAGGAACATTTTCCATTAAATATGATGGGTGTAGTGAATCAAGTACAAGGATAAATAATCCTGAAGTCACTGGGCCATGACTTCAAGGAGAAAAATGATTTGTTCTTTAATGATTAAATCATAAGAAATTGTTCCAGGTTTGTAGAATTTTCACAAAAATCTACAATAATATTAAGATAATTTAGGATCAGAAGTGTTTCTGTGAGTCTAATTTTTATTATTAGTGTTTTTCTACTTTCTTTATTTGTATAATTATCATATTTTTTATTAATGAAAGGAGAAAATTCCCTTTAGGGATTCATGCAGCACACCTTGTTTAAATAACATGCAGTATTTTCTATAGCAGCATTCATTTTCTTCTGTAGCGTTCATAACTATTACCTGCATTTCTTTTGCATGTAGTTATATATTTTCTTTGATGTTTGCTCTTTAGGTAATGATTCTGACGTTGACCTTGACAGGAAGGAAGATGAGCGAGAAAAAACTCCCAAAAGGCCCAGAGTACAGAAAACAGAGAAAACTCCATCAACTAAGGAGACTGAACAAGTTCCAGGAGCTAAAAATCCTATAATAAGTGTGGTTTTGACAGCCCATGAAGCTATTCCAGGTATTCAGAATCACCAGTTAGTTAATCAAATTTGTTTCTGTTTATGCTGACACGATATAAAAGAGAAATTGGTCTATACTAAAATGCTTAAGGTACATGCAATCTGAAAAATCAAGTATTTAGTTATTTGGTCATTTTGATACAGAATCTCTGTGTCTGGCATCTGGATCATTGTAGAGCTACTTTATAGGTGACACAGATGCTGTCTGTGGATTTGAATGTATTTATCTGCATTAACGTGAGTTATGTTGAGTCTGTGAGGGGTTTTAAAGAAAAGGAAATATCATTGAACAAGGATAAAAAAAGTATTTTTCTCTGATCATATCTTTATTTCAGCTCTTGACTCTTTATATATTTATGATAAATATAAATTTGATTATGAAAATGCAAACAGCTTACTGTGTATAGAACTTAATATTTATGTTTACAAATAGATTGATAGGAAATTTACATTTCAAAATCACATGAAGTTTCTATTCAGTAGTTAAAAGATTCTTCATCTGTAATTTTGCGTAGAGCCTTTGCACTGAAGGATTTTGAAATAATTTCAAACTTAGACTTGTATTTGCCTGTTGATATAAACCTGGTACTTACCAGAATGACAAAATGCCTTTTTAGCAGTTTTGTGCATTATTTTCAGCTCTGTAGCCTGTCTTGTTCTCTTCACTGGTGCTAACAGTTCTGAACAGTTGTTTTGCTTACAGATCTGAGAACAATTAGAATGTATTTATTTATATATTTATATATATATATTTATTTAAGTTGTGGGTTAGAAAATACTTGGATTTTCACTTAACCACAATTCTGATCCTTTTGTTTGACATGACCTTGAACTCTTTCTTACCTGTTGGTGAGCACTCATTTTCCCCACTGTCTCTGCCATCTATTTAGCCTCTTCCTACCATATTCAGCTTCTTCTTCTGTCCTGGCCCCATTCTCCTCACTGCCACGTTGAAGGCTCCCTTTTATGTCTTCTGTTGCTTTGTCCAAAGAGGAGCATGTGATGGTTGGTAAGGGACTCATGTAGTTGTTGGTTACTGGATTTGTACATGAACAGTTGCCTAACAGAACTTTTGGGGAAGAACTGTAATTTGGCTCTTCTTTGTCCAGGTGAGAATAAAAATAATATACAAAGCATGTGAAGACAGAAAGGAAATGAATATTTAGGGATGTTTGTTGCCTTAATTACCACCTGGTGATTTTTTTTATTTAAACATGAAGTTTCTGTTTTCTTCTTTCTATGCTTTTTAAATTATGCAGAATATTAAAAATAAGTACAACTTGGGAGCAGTTCTCACACAGTAGGTTTCATTCAAAAGCCTGTAATGGATTGAACAGAATGACAGTTAAATGTGGATTTGAAGCTGTTTTTGACTATCTTTTCATTTATTTGATTGACAATTAGTAATCTTACTAATTTGGAAGGTCCCAGGTAGAATATATACAATAAAAAGGTAATTGCTATTACAGCAGTTATGAATTATCATCCAGATTTTGCAAATGCTGAAAGCTTAGAAGATATTTTTAGCATTTTTAAATTCTGGTTATGGTTGTGGCCAATGATTCTGTGTCCAGGTGGAGGCCCATAATGAGCAATGTCCCCCAGGGGATCCATTCTGGGACCAGTACTCAATAACATCTTTATCAGTAACATAGATGACGGGATTGAGTGCACCCTCAGCAAACTTGCTGATGACACCAAGTTGAGTGATGCGGTTGATACAGCAGAAGGAAGGGATGCCATTCAGAGGGACCTTGAGAAACTCAAAAGATGTGCTCTTGTGAACCTAATGATGTTCAAAAAAGCAAAGTGCAAGATTTTCCACGTGGGTCAGGGTAATCCCAGATATGTATATAAATTAGGAGAAGAACTCCTTGAGAGTAGCCCTGCTGAGGCTCCGTCGTATTTGAGAAGTCGTGGCTGTCAGGTGAGGTCCCAGATGACTGGAGGAAGAGTCATGTCACTGCCATTTGCAAGAAAGGGAGCAAGGAGGACCCCGGGAACTACAGGCCGGTGAGTCTCACCTCTGTGCCTAGGAAGATCATGGAACAGATCATGCTGGATGACATGCTTGATCACATCCGTGACAGCCAGCACAGCTTCACCAGAGGAAGGTTGTGCTTGACCAATCTGGTGGCCTTTTATGGTCACCAGTGAGTGATGGCATTGGTGGACAAGGGAAAGGTGACTGATGTCATTTACCTGGACTTGAGCAAGGCCTTTGACACAGTCCCCCATCACATCCTTATCTCCAAATTGGAGGGATGTGGATTTGATGTGTGGACCACTCGACGGATAAGAAATTGGTTGAAAGGCTGCAGACAGAGGGTGGTCATCAATGGCTCTATGTCCAGGTGGAGGCCAGTAACGAGCGGCGTCCCCCAGGGGTCTGTCTTGGGACCGGTGCTCTTTAACATCTTTATCAATGACATCGATGACGGAATGACGGGATGACCCTCAGCAAGTTTGCTGACGACACCAAGCTGAGTGGTGCGGTTGACATGATTGAAGGAAGGGATGCCATTCAGAGGGACCTCGAGAGGCTGGAAAGGTGGGCCTGGGTGAACCTGATGAG